CGAATTCACAACACATCAAAAAGATTATTCACCAACCAAGTAGGCTTCATCCCAGGGATGCAGGGGTGGTTCAACATACAAAAATCAATAAATATATAAACCACATTAACAGAAGCAAAGACAAAAACCACTTGATCATCTCAATAGATGCAGAAAAAGCCTTTGATAAGATCCAACATCATTTCATGATAAACGCTCTAAGAAAACTAGGAATAGAAGGAAAGTACCTCAACATTATAAAAGCTATATATGACAAACCTACAGCCAGCATTATACTTAACGGAGAAAAAAAAACCATTCCCTCTAAAATCAGGAACCAGACAAGGATGCCCACTATCTCCACTCCTATTCAACATAGTACTGGAATTCCTAGCCAGAGCAATTAGGCAAGAAGAAGGAATAAAAGGAATACAAATAGGTAAAGAAACTGTCAAAATATCCCTATTTGCAGATGACATGATCCTATACCTTAAAGACCCAAAAAACTCTACTCAGAAGCTTCTAGACATCATCAATAGCTATAGCAAGGTAGCAGGATATAAAATCAACATAGAAAAATCATTAGCATTTCTATACACTAACAATGAGCAAACTGGAAAAAGAATGTATGAAAACAATTCCATTTACAATAGCCTAAAAAAATCAAATACCTAGGTGTAAACCTAACAAAAGATGTGAAAGACCTCTACAAGGAAAACTATACACTTCTGAAGAAAGAGATTGAGGAAGACTATAGAAAGTGGAGAGATCTCCCATGCTCATGGATTGGTAGAATCAACATAGTAAAAATGTCGATACTCCCAAAAGTAATCTACATGTTTAATGCAATTCCCATCAAAATTCCAATGACATTCATTAAAGAGATTGAAAAATCTACTGTAAATTTATATGGAAACACAAGAGGCCACGAATAGCCAAGGCAATACTCAGTCAAAAGAACAATGCAGGAGGTATCACAATACCTGACTTCAAACTATATTACAAAGCAATAACAATAAAAACAGCATGGTACTGGCACAAAAACAGACATGAAGACCAGTGGAACAGAATAGAGGACCCAGATATGAAGCCACACAACTATAACCAACTTGTCTTTGACAAAGGAGCTAAAAATATACGATGGAGAAATAGCAGCCTCTTCAACAAAAACTGCTGGGAAAACTGGTTAGCAGTCTGCAAAAAACTGAAACTAGATCCATGTATATCACCCTATACCAAGATTAACTCAAAATGGATCAAGGATCTTAATATCAGACCCAAACTCTAAGTTGATACAGGAAAGAGTAGGAAATACTCTGGAGTTAGTAGGTATAGGTAAGAACTTTCTCAACGAAACCCCAGCAGCACAGCAACTAAGAGATAGCATAGATAAATGGGACCTCATAAAACTAAAAAGCTTCTGTTCATCAAAAGAAATGGTCTCTAAACTGAAGAGAACACCCACAGAGTGGGAGAAAATATTTGCCAACTATACATCAGACAAAGGACTGATAACCAGAATATATAGGGAACTTAAAAAACTAAATTCTCCCAAAACTAATGAACCAATAAAGAAATGGGCAAGTGAACTAAACAGAACTTTCTCAAAAGAAGAAATTCAAATGGCCAAAAACACATGAAAAAATGCTCACCATCTCTAGCAATAAAGGAAATGCAAATTAAAACCACACTAAGATTCCACCTCACCCCTGTTAGAATAGCCATCATCAGCAACACCACCAACAACAGGTGTTGGCGAGGATGCGGGGAAAAAGGAACCCTCTTACACTGTTGGTGGGAATGTAAACTAGTACAACCACTCTGGAAAAAAATTTGGAGGCTACTTAAAAAGCTGACATGATCTACCATTTGATCCAGCAATACCACTCTTGGGGATATACCCAAAAGACTGTTACTCCAGAGGCACCTGCACACCCATGTTTATTGCGGCACTATTCACAATAGCCAAGTTATGGAAACAGCCAAGATGCCCCACACTGACGAATGGATTAAGAAAATGTGGTATCTATACACAATGGAATTTTATGCAGCCTTGAAGAAGAACGAAATGTTATCATTCGCTGGTAAATGGATGGAATTGGAGAACATCATTCTGAGTGAGGTTAGCCTGGCCCAAAAGACCAAAAATCGTATGTTCTCCCTCATATGTGGACATTAGATCAAGGGCAAACACAACAAGGGGATTGGACTTGAGCACATGATAAAAGCGAGAGCACACAAGGGAGGGGTGAGGATAGGTAAGACACCTAAAAAACTAGCTAGCATTTGTTGCCCTTAACGCAGAGAAACTAAAGCAGATACCTTAAAGCAACTGAGGCCAATAGGAAAAGGGGAACAGGAACTAGAGAAAAGGTGAGATCAAAAAGAATTAACCTAGAATGTAACACCCATGCACAGGAAATCAATGTGAGTCAATGCCCTGTATAGCTATCCTTATCTCAACCAGCAAAAACCCTTGTTCCTTCCTATTATTGCTTATACTCTCTCTACAACAAAATTAGAAATAAGGGCAAAATAGTTTCTGCTGGGTATTGAGGGGGGGGAGAGGGAGGGGGCGGAGTGGGTGGTAAGGGAGGGGGTGGGGACAGGGGGAAGAAATGAACCAAGCCTTGTATGCACATATGAATAATAAAAGAAAAATGAAAAAAAAAAAAAGCTGCTGGATGAGCACAAATCTCAGGCAGAAAGCTAGGTTTACTTTTATTTAAAGCAAACGATAGAATGTTTTGAGAAAACAGTAAAAATACATAGGAGATTGATCCAGAGAGAATAATGGGAAGGGAGGTTCAAAGGGTGAAGAGCAGGAATAAAAGCCAGAAAGTGTCCGGAAATGAGCTGTCTCATCCCATGCAGACTGCTGGTTTTCCAGTAAGTCAGATAAAATGGGAAATGATAAAAAAAAATTCATACATACCATAAACACTCCATATAAATTAAAACATAAATGTACACACGTGTGCTGATCTTTTGATGTAAACTCAGGACTCGTTCTCTGCATATGGATCTGCTGATTGGAGTTATGCATCTTCTGTCCTACATAAACCACATCCTTCATCTATGATTTCCAGTCTTTCTTTCTTTAAAGTGGAAGAAGATCCTGAACACACTTGTTCAATAATCTGAATGCAGAACCTACCTACATTTTCAAAACTCCCCCCAAAACACATATTCTTTTACCACTACCTTGCCTAATCAATAGCAAATAGCAAAGCTTTTGTACCTAACAATTACCATGGCTTTCTAACATTTTCACAGAAACAAAACTCAGTCTTTCTGCATTTGACCAATTAATTTACTCTTCACTTAAAGTATAGAATTAAAATAAATTTAGCTTGCTAAATAGGTTTGAGGATAAGCACAATACAATTAATCCTTGAAAGAAGACAGGTTAACTGGTGGACCCAAGATTACCTTGACAACCTAAAGAGAAGCCCTATGGCCAAATACATGTAGGAGCTGACAGTGGTAATCTATATTGTTTATAAGGAATACAGTATAGATTAATCCTGTAAGTCAGTAAAGAGATCAATGTAGAGAACTTTAAATGCATAGGTGATAAGATAAGTTGTACTTCAAAGAGTGGGCAAGGACAGCAAGGATATAAAGCATTATTAACTAGATTCAAGTTTCCAAATCAATCACTGGTATATGACTGCTTTTTTCTTCCCACATGTGCTTTCTTTTCTGTGTGCCCCAGTCCCTTATCTCTTAGGACTTTTCTTGTTTTATAGAAGAGAGTTGGGTAACCAGGAGTAGGAGAACAAGATAGATGTACAGTAAGAACTACAGAAGGGGTCTGAACCTCCAGCTGCTTCTGAGTCCCAAGACTCTTCCATTTACTCCTTTAATTTTAGCATTCACATCTAGGAATCTAGACTGCTTGTGTATAATTTTACTGTGCACACGTTCTTTTCACCTGAGTTTTCTGCCAGGTAACTGGAGACCATTATTTATATTCATTCAAATTCTTTTTCTGTTTCTTCCCATTGCTCCCCCACCCCCCAGGGAAGTTAACTGCCAGTTACCATATGTAAAGAAAGGGGCAACAAAACTAACAAAAACAGAAGTATCTTTACATTCAGGAAACGCTCATAGACCCAGGGTCACCTGTCATGCCGTTAGGCCTGCCCTACCCTAAACACCATCACTAATTCTTTGCTTTGCTTTTCCAGTACATGGCATGCCTTTCATGTTCCTAAGAACTCAGCACATGTTCTCCATATTCCTCAGTGAGGAGACCAAACGGCATTCTCTCTCCTACCAATACAGCACAGATTCAGTAGATATTCAGAGCAGAAAATAGAGGTTATTGCTAAAAGGACCATTTACTGTGATTAATCAGTGTTTTAGGTGCCTGTAGGTTTCAGGCATCATCTTGTTTAGGACTCACAATTATCATCTACTTTTATCAACATAAACTCATTTCCTAGATAAATTCAGCAAGACCAGAGGGATTTAGTATGATATCTGATATCACAGAGAAAATATCCAAGCCAGGATCTGAATCTAAGTAGTTGGGTCTCTGAGATGAGGCCCTTAATTACTATACTACACTACACATTCTCTGAATGCCCAGGCTCAAATGGAATCATATATGATTTAGAAGAATTTTGTTATTAATATACACAATAGCAATGATGCCTTTCACCTAACAATTACCCTCATCCATATACCACAGGAAAAATTAGTTTAGGGCATTCATATAATTGTCCTAAAATGATGTTACTCTGTTTAAAACAACAAAGAAAAATTAGCTGACTAAAATATTGTCTTTCTGGTCTAACCAATCTAATTTAGAATGGGATGATAGAACAGAAATGTATCTATTTATCACAAGACGCGGGAAAGTAATTCCCACTCAGAACCTGCCATAATCTTTCCACAATCAAACCACACAACATCTATAACAAAGTGAGGGGACAAAGAAAGAGAGTCATGCAATAGGAAAGGAATGGTGGATAAATAAAATTGTCACTTGATGGAACACAATTCAAACTTACTTTTTTGGTGCACTTCTTGACAGTGTTGATTAATTCTTGCATAACAAGGTCTACACTCTTCAAGGAAGGCCCTTTCAGCTTTACAATCTGTTTTTTGACTATTGCTTCAAATGCCATGTCTGGAGTAAACAATCCTGTCCTGAACATAACAAAGAAAGCAGCACATTAGATTTAAACAATTGAGTAGTAGCTGATAATCTTTTGAAAAATGTTTTGATTGACATGCCACTTATGTCAAGCATGTAATAGACCAAGTTTTAAAGTTATGTAGAAATTTATTCTATCCACAGTACCATTATATAATAATTTCTCCAGTAGTAGTGAACCATAATTAATTCTAACCCGTGAGATTGACCATTACCTAAAAGCAATGTCCAAATGCTAGGGATGAGTTCAGTGGTAGAGCACTTGCCTAGTATGTGCATGGCCCTGGGTTCAATGCCAGCACCACAAAAAAAGAAAGAAAAAACAACACTTGATATGTTTTTTGTGACTTACAAATGAGCTTCAAAATTCAAATGGCCAAAAAACACATGAAAAAATGCTCACCATCTCTAGCCATAAAGGAAATGCAAATCAAAACCACACTAAGATTCCACCTCACCCCTGTTAGAATAGTCTTCATCAAAAACACCAACAACAACAGGTGTTGGCAAGGATATGGGAAAAAAGGAATCCTTGTACACTGATGGTGGGAATGCAAGCTGGTGCAACCACTTTGGAAAAAAAATTGGAGGCTTCTTAAAAATATAAACATGGATTTATATCAGCAATCCCACTCCTGGGGTTATACCCAAAGGAATGTGACTCAGGTTATTCCAGTGGCACTTTCACACCCATGTTTATTGCAGCGCTATTCACAATAGCCAAGTTGTGGAAACAGCCAATATGCCCTACTTACAGACGGATGGATTAAGGGAATGTGGTATTTACACACAATGGAATTTTACTCAGCCGTGAAAAAGAATGAAATCTTATCATTCACAAGTAAATTGGATGAAACTGGAGAACATCATTCTGAGCAAGGTTAGCCAGGCTCAGAAGACCAAAAATCATATGTTCTCCCTCATACGTGGACTTTAGATCTAGGGCAAAAGCAGCAATGTGGTTGGACTTGAGTCACATGATAAGGGGAGAGCATACATGGGAGGTAGGGGGATAGCTAAGAAACTCAAAACATGAAAGTATTTGATGTCCCCACCACAGAGGAACTAATACAGAAACCTTAAAGCAACAAAGGTCAATATGAGAAGGAGATCAGGAACTAGTGAAAAGGACAGAGATGAATCAATTTGGGTTATAATACACATGTGCATGGAAGCAATACTAGGAATCTGCCTGTATAACTATCCTTATCTCAACTAGCGAAAATGCTTTGTCTTCCTTATTATTGTTTATGTTTTCTCTTCAACAAAATTAGAGATAAGAGCAGAACAGGTTCTGCCTGGAAGCGAGGGGGGCGGTGGAGAGGAGAAGGAGGAGGGCGAGGGATAGGGGGATAAATGACCCAAACAATGTATGCACATGTGAATAAATGAATAAAAAAAGTGAGCTTCAACTAATAGTAATTTGTTTTATCTCACTGTTTCTAAGCAATAAAAAAGGAATGACATCAGCCTTCCCTATCAGCAAGTTCCCTGTGGATTCAACCACCGAATGAAAATATTCCGAAAAATATGTGTCCTGAACATGTATGACTTCTTCTTGTGGTTTTTGTCTACATAATACAGTACAACTAATTATACATCATTTTCATTATATTCAGAATTATAAGTAATCCAGAGGTGATTACTACAAGGGGCCCTGGAACCATCCCCAGTAGATACCAAGGGATAAGAATACTGTAATAAAATGTTATATGAAATTTAAATTTCTATTTCTAAAAGATTCCAAAAACAATCAATCCTCTCTTAGCAAGTGAGGCTCACATTTTGCACACTGAAATAGAGTTTCTGGAATGTACAATCTATTTTTTTCCAAGACAGCTTAATGACTCCCAATCTGAAGTCCCAGGGTGTTGGAGAAGGACAATGGTAGAAAGAGCTGTGAATTCACTTTAATATTGGAAGAAAACTAAATTATGAATTTACAAAAATAACAAATGATAACCAAAATAATTGTATCTTCTTTTTGGTAAGAATTAATTCAACTTTGATGTCATAATGTTTTTCTCATGCTGAAGAAGAACTCAGGGAACCAGATATAAATGTGCAGAGATCATAAAAAGTAAAAAGTTGTTACCCTAATTTAAATAAAAGGTCAACACAGAAAAGTCAAGAGAAGAGAGATCCTTGAACTCTGAGCTTTGATGATGACTTCCAGGCTCTGGATTTGGGCACTCCATCCTCCCCACCCTTAAACCTTCCTCCCCTCCACTTTTTACCTCTTCTTATTCAACTTCTCTTCCTTCAACACTCAATTCATGGTACCTCTTTTGGAAAATTTCTTTAATGCTTCCCTTACACCAACTATCATTTACTGAGCACCTTGGCTCTGAAGCAATCATGCTATAATTATAATTTCTCCACCCATAGAATAAAATCCAAACAGCTTAGTCTAACATCAAAATTTTCCCACTTTCTAATCCTAATCTCCTTTGAAGTTATTTTCTTCCTCTCCATTCACACACCCTGTGTTCCAGTCAATTTGCCTGTTTTCATAATAGCATTAATTCTTTGGTTTTGCCTGTGATGTTCACTTTACCCTCTCCATAACTTCAGCCTATCTGAATCCCTCCTGTATTTTGAAACCCAGATCAAAAGCAGTCACATCCTACAGCTCCTACTTGTCTCCAGTCTTGCCTCTGAGAAGGCCTTTTCTTCTCTGGAGCCCCAACATTCTACTGTGCATTTCAGTAAACGAGATACGTATTTTATTCTCATTATTACACAGGTATGGAAAGTTGTTGTGCTGTTAATCTTGGTTTGCCCCACAAGAATTATCTTCCTCCCTTGCTCATAAAAAAAGTCTGCAAACTGAAAGAGGTTCTGCAAACAGAACCTGATGTGCTGGCACCCTAATCTTCGACTTCCAGCCTCTAGAACTGTGAGATAAATTTGTAATGGTAATTTGTTATAGCAACCTGAAAAGACTAAGATAGAAAGTAACCTAGAATAATCTCACTCTGAACAAGGGAAAATTCAGGCACAAGTTCACCCCAGCCCACCCTCCCTTCTCATGTCCCTCACTCTCTTATCCACATTCCTTATACCAGGCAAATGCTCTGTGAATTCTTGCTACACTTTTCCACATTTGTGCCTTCACTCACACTGCTCCAACCACTTGGAGACCCTTTCTTTTATCCTTCAGCCTCAGCAGTTTCCATTCCATCCTTCCACCATCTCGCAACTCACTGCACCATCACCTCACACATATGTACACCTGCATAAACAGGACCTATAGATACACACAACACACTTTGGCTTTTTAAAATCATTGTCTAAACAAGCAAGAGTCCATCCAAAAGTAACCACGTTCCCAATCTTTCCCAATCTTGCTCCATAACTCTAGTCAAAATCAACCTGTCAAGTCTGTCTTCTCTGTACTGGGAGCAGCTCTCCTGTCACAGCCCTACACCCCTGAAAATGTATGGCTGCTCCAAGATCGTCTCTACTCCCTCCTTGGTCAGGAGCACCTCTCAACTGCTAAGCCAACCACTATCTGCAGTGATGCTGAACTGACAGATGAGGCCTCAGAAGCTTACCAGTCCCATGTCCCCTCACCTCACTTGTCTCTAGTCGCAGCTTTCAAACCAGCACCATTTCAAGAGAATCAACCCCAGTGGAGCTGGGGCTGCCACAATTTGGGTGGCCGGCTCTGGGGCTGGGACTGGCATCATGTTTGGAAGCCTCATTGTTGATTATTTATGGCTGAAACACTTCTCTGAAGCCGCAGCTCTTCTCCTACACCTTTCTGGGCTTTGCCCTCTCAGAAGCTGCAGGGTCTTCTGCCTGATGGTAACCTTTCTCATCCTCTTCACCATGTGAAGGAGCCATCGCCAACTCCTATAGTTCTTTCTCCCATTTCTTGTCCGCCCTGTATGTTCCTTCTCCCAAACCTCCCCCAGGAAATGTGGGAAAAGTAGCTGGCTCAGGGTTTGACAGAGGAAAGACAAATACATACTGTATTAATTTAAAAAAAATAATAACCCTGTCGATTCTCTGGGTAAGTGATTGGCGATGAGCATGTCAGACCTTTCTCACTGACACACAAGGTTTTGGAGAACAGAATCCTGCTCTTCTACTCAATGATGAGCAGGAGACTCAGCTTCTACTGTGCAGAGCATAGGCTGTGAGCACAGAAAGTATTTTTGGTTTTTTCTTAATTTGAAAAAACTTTCAACAACAATATAGAAAATAACCATCAAACCCAAACTAAATTATCCTGCTTCTTACCCCCACCTCTCTACTGATCTCTGCTCAGATGAAAAGTCTACTTTACTAATCATTTATAAATATTCCCTTTCATTTGGTAGCTTGAAGACAAAGAAAGTATGAATCACTTGCCTGATACCATGTATGTTTTTGATTGCATAGCTTATTTCCCTTCGCAATTCTTTCTCATTGAACTCCATCTGCAGATGCAAAATGAGCCATGGTTATGACACTTAATTCTAATATAATCATAATGTTGAATATTATAGAATGAGAATAACTTGACTTAGTTATTAATAAATGGATACTCGTGTCTCTCCTAAGCTAAACCCAGATGGTCAAAACATCTGTTTATGTAAAGTTCTAGGCCACATAGAACACTAGGGATTTCTGGGAGATTCGGCACAGATTTTAACTCTAATATATACAAGCAGTGCTATGCATAAAGGATGCCTTCTGGACATAAATTTAGCATTCATTGAAATTCATATTCTTCATTCTTTTACTGAATATAGTAAACCTGAGGACACAGGCAAATGCATAAATGACAGTGTCACTTGATGGGCAACAGCCACACAGCTGTCCTGAGATTTACACTGATTGTCTTTTCTCCCTGGCCATTTTAACCACCTGAGTTCAAGGTCTCTTTATAAAAGAAAATTAATAATATCTCACCAGTCAGCACAGAACATATTTCTGTATAAATATTCCTCAAAGTCCTAGGGACCATAAATCTACTTGAAAGTAAGATCAAAGTGTCAGAGCTTAGTCTTAGAAGGCATGTCCAGAGAACATAGGATTCAGCCCTGACTCTAATATTCTGCATTCCAATTCCAGCCTCACTGTCTTCTATTTCTTTCCTCATTACCTTAGAACAATGATGCCTTAGGTCTATACCCACACCCTGTGACTTCACAGCCTTTATCATTTCTCCCTTCTTTAAGGAACACCCCTACCCCCACCCCTACCCCATCTCACTGCTTAACTAGCTGCCCATTCTTCCAAACTGAGCTCAGAAGCCTGACTCCCTTGCACACTTGGACTGGGATTCATATCTGTGGGCTGTGTTTCCACAGCACCCTATGCTGAAATTTGTCGTTTTACTTAAAACATTTTATTAAAACTATTTACCCATCTGCTTCCTGCACCAAGACATAAGTGTCAATCTCTTTGTGTGTGAGGCAAGTAGTCCCCAGCAAATCTAAAACAGAATTCTTGCCTCATATCCCCCATACCAACACAGCTTTTCCTCAGTTTCCCTAATCTAATGGGTACAATCATTCACTCAGCTGCAGAAGCCAAAAACTTGGGAGTCATCTCCATATCTTCCATCTCCCATATCAATCCAAGCTCTTTTGACCTGACTTCTAAAATCCCAGACTCATCCATTTTTCTCCATTCTCTCTTAATACATTGTTTTTCCTAAGAAGCTGTGAGGACTTCATTCATCCTCCTCTCCATCAGTTATGCACCAGCCACATCCATTCTTTGCCTGTCATGCTTGTTACTGCTTTGGCCTCACCAAAGAATGCTCCTTCTCCTCCCAGCTCTCTACATGGCTGACCTCTTCATGGTGCTCTGGTCATGGCTTAAATGTCCCTTACTCAGAGAGAACTTGCCTAAACATAAAAGTGGCACTCACCAGTCATCAGTGGTTCACCTCTATAATTCTAGCTAGTTAGGAGGCTGAAATCAGGAGGATCATGGTTCCAGGCCAGCCAGGTCAAATAGTTTACAAAACCCCATCTCCAAAAAATAATCAGAACAAAATGGACTAGAGGCATGAGTCAAGCACTGAGAACCTGCTTCACAAGTACAAGCCCTGAGTTCAAACTTCAGTCCCACCAAAAAAAAAGTGGCCCTCATATCATATTACCATAAAAGCACTTGATATTTTCTTATGTTGTCTATTTCTTATTTTCTTTTTTTTAAAAAGAGTTTTATTGAAAATACCTGCATTGCATATGAATCAAATTCATATGAATT